CAGAGGATTGCCTTTCTAGAAACTCACCTGAAAAGCTTAAAATTGCCAGCATCTCTCTGGTCAGTCCCTAACTCCAAATTGCGTCTTCCAATCACCATGAAACTCTGAAGTGTTTGTTCAGCTCATTTATGCTTGGCTTTTTTTTGAGTCCTCTTGCTGCAAGGTCAGCAGTTCAAAACCACCAGCCGCTCCGAGGGAGAAAGATGGGGCTTTCAACTCCCACCAAGCAAATCAGAAACCTACAGGAGCACATCTCACTTGTCCTATAGGCTGCTTGCTATGAGTTGGAATCGAGTCAAGGGCAGCCAGTTTGGTTTTTTGTGGCAGACGGGGGGCGGGGGGTTGACTTTTCTGAGTTTTGCCCCGAGTATGTGGTAGAGTTCAGTAGTTGGCAAGTGATGAAAGAGTATACAATGCTATATTTGCCTCAGAGTACTTCCCTTCTATCCAGGTTCTTGGCCCCTAATGTCCTGGCTGCCCTTGGATCTGTTCAGTTGTTTCTTTTATTTTATTTTAAAATCTAGCTTTATTGTTGTTCTCAGAAGGATGCTTCTCACTGCAGTTGAGTTCATTTGAACTCAGAGTGACCCTATAAGAAAGGTTAGAAGTACTCTTGTGAGTTTTCAAGACTGAGAAGACTTACACTTTTTGAAGTGTAGAAAGCCTCATCTTTCTCCTGCAAAGCAGCTTGTGGTTTTGAACAGCTGATCTGTGGTTAACAATCTAATGCATAACCCGCTATGCCACCAGACTCCATTATAACCAGAGAGCAAGTTCTTCATAGATTAATTTGATATTTAAAAATGAAAGCTAGTTTTGTTGACATTTCAAATGCAAGACCTATTTCATAAGCTGTTAGGGGCACCTTATGCTTTTACTCTAGTAAGAGGGGCCTTTTGTAACTGGTTTAATGTAGTATTTATAAATTTACTATTAAGCTACTGTTTTAAACTCCTGAGTTGGTTTGATTCTGTTAATCATGCTGACACTTAATTATTTTTTTTAATCATTTTATTAGGGGCTCAAACAACTCTTACCACAATCCAAACATACATCAATTGTGTAAAGCGCATTTGTGAATTCATTGCCCT